AGAGAAGCCTTACCATCAGGCCCTGAGGGAGCTTCACCCTGGGGGGAGCAGGGCAGGCACCCCCCGCAGGGCTCTGGTCTCCCTTCTTTTCTGCTGGGTGTTTGCGGGGGGGGGGGAGGAGGCACCACCTGCAGGAGACAGGAAGTGAGAGGGAATCCGGCTCAGGTGAGGGTGCACCGGCCAAAGTGGGACAGGAACTGGGCAGGAGGGCGTCTACTTAGCCGCGGCGGGGAACAGAGCCCTTCCCTCAGCGCTGAGACGCCAGCAAGCCTCGTTTGAACAGCCTCGCGCACTGCCCTAGAGTCCAGTCCATTACACTTGCAGGGCCCCCTCCTTGGGTTTCCGAGGCGCTATCTCCACCAAGTAGATGGCCCAACCGTCCTTCTGAGGAGTGGCTGGTGGGTTGGAACCGCCAGCCTTCTGGTGAGCAGTCAGATGCCTCAGGCTGGCGCCAGGGTTTAAGGACAGACGCTGGGTTTGTCCCAGACGCCACGTAGGCCTGGAACCGGGATGTGCAGAGCGAGCGTCAGGCCGGCTCCACTCCCGGGGGCCCTTCGCGCCGCTCACCGCCCCTCTCTCTTCCTCGCTTTTGCTCTGCGTCTCCTTCCCTCTGTCCTGGGTGGCACACTCTCCAGCCCCTGTGGGCGCAGGGCAGGTGCTGTGTGCCCTGCGAGGTACCCAGCTACTGTCCTGGCGGGGAACAGCGCGGGGAGGCGCCTTGGCTGCCCTGTGGCTGGGAAGCCCGGCAGCCACGCAGTCGGGGTATGGCAGACGGGGTGGGACTCGGGCCAGGTCCCCGGCACGCTCCCGCGGGCACCGAGCGCCGTCCCTGGCGAAGCCCTTGGACAGGACCTCCCGACCGGCCAACATCTGCCCGGAGGACGCGCGGCCCGGAGCGGCTCTGCCCAGGCGCCTTCTGCGCTCGCGCGCGGAGTGTCCCGGGCGTCGCCGCCGCTCACGCTGTGCTCTCCCGCAGGTGACACGGGCTCCGACGCGCCGCTGACCGGACGCTCCTCCCCGCGCCAAG